GCCCCAGTAGGCCCCCAGAGGCCACGAAGCCCCATGAGGCGCCGAAGGGGTCCCCAGGGAGCCCCAAGAGACTCCCAAGGGGCTCCCAGGGAACGCCCAAGAGGCCCCCCAACACCCCCCAAGAAATCATGTCCCCAGAAAGCCTTCTGGGGACATGGTTCGTCATGGGCCCGAGAGTTCCTGGAGGCCCCCAAGGAGCGCCCAGGGAACGCCCAAGAGGCCCCCCAACACACCCCAACAAGTCGTGTCCCCAGAAAGCCTTCTGGGGACATGGTTCATCATGGGCTGGAGAGTCTCCGGAGGCTTCGAAGTACCATCACGCTACTGGAGAGCTGTTTGAGAAGTTGACTGGGAACATGACTGGTCGCCTTCTCGCGGCCCCCCGCAGATCGTTTTGCACAAACTTGCCCCTAAGTGCACTCTTGAACCGACGACGACGACAAAGACGACGAGACGACGAAGACGAGGACGACGACGACGACGACGGCGCGCCCCAAGAGGCGACGGTGACATGACGACGACGACGACGGCACGCCCAACGGGCTCTCCAAGACGCCCCCCAACCCATGTTCCCAGAAGGCCTTCCGGGAACCCGATCCATCCGGCCTCCGCCCCCCTACGCCACCATCTTCCCTGAGAGCCATATGGAGTGCGGACAGGCTTGCGTGGACTGTGGTCCACCACCTCAGTGAAGCAGTGAACTCGTCAAGGCCTGGTGCCTGCTAGAGCCATCGCGCGCGCGAAGCTGCGCGCGTTGGTTCTAGTATATGTGTGTGTATATATATATATATATATATGTACGTATGCGTCAGCGGGCCACTGCATCATTCTACTGGCCAGTCGGAGCTACGGTCGGAACCTTTTGCTTAGCGTGTCGCGCCGCCGTTTCTGGCCCACCGCGCTTCGGCGCGACACGCTGCCGAACCCTTCTTGACCGTCCTTCCCGCGACACGCCAAGCAAGCACTCCTGACCGTAACGTCCTTGGATGCAGTTTGCAGTTTGCGCTCGAGAGCTAGGCGCCGATGTCCAGCCAGGCCCAAGCGTGTGGCTGACGGGAGAGCTGGCAACACCTCGGCTGGCGGCGCGAGCCAGAGCCCAACGCACCTGCGGAGAGAGGCTGGTCCGCACGGGGCGCACCGCCGACGGAAGACCCGCGGGCTGAGGGGAAGGTGCGCGAGTCGTGTACGGCCCGAGGCTTGCCGGCGCAATCCCGGCCACGAGGGGAGGATGCCACTACGGCGGGCGCGCCTCGTCCCGCAGCAGGGGCGCCGAGGCCGCGCGGCAACGCATCCGCAGCGAGCCCGACGCGTCCGCGCCGCGGCCTGGGACCGGTGGGCCTGAAGAGCACGGGGGCTGGGCGGAGCCGATTGCGCACCGATGCCGGCGGAGAAGGGGGGAGGGCGGCCGCGGAAGAGGGCAGAGGAGGGGGCCGCGAGTAGAGCGTGCAGCGCCTCGCGTGCGGTGTCCTGGCGGTCTCGGGCTCCGACGGGCGTCGCGGAGACTGCCTCCGCAGGTCGTCGCGGGGCACCCCGCGCCGCCAGCGCGGGCAGGGGGCGGCTCGGAGGTCCACGCAGAACGAGGGGGGGCGCCCAGGTGCTCCTATCGGCGGCGGGCCTTGGGGGGGAGGAGGAGGAGGAGGAGGAGGAGGAGGAGGGAGGAGGAGGGAGGAGGAGGAGGAGGAGGAGGAGGAGGAGGGAGGAGGAGGAGGAGGAGGAGGAGGAGGAGGAGGAGGAGGAGAGGAGGAGGAGGAGGAGGAGGAGGAGGAGGAGGGGAGGAGGAGGAGGGAGGAGGAGGAGGAGGAGGAGGAGGAGGAGGAGGAGGAGGAGGAGGAGGAGGAGGAGGAGGAGGAGGAGGAGGAGCGGCTGGGAGGTCCATGCAGACCAAGAGGAGGCGCCCAGGTGCTCCCATCGGCGGCTAGCCATGGGGGGGGGAAGTGAGAAGGGGCGGGCCTTCTCAGAAGGCTCGGAAGTCCCCCCCAGCCTTAAATCGGGCCTGTCCCTTTACAAAAATCGGCAAAAATAGTCAGGGGACGATTTTTGACCATTTGTTGTCTATTTTAATTTTTCGCCCAAGCTCCCCCTGTAGGGGGGCAGGCCCGACCTAACCCCAGCTTTCCAAGAAGGTTTTCAGGCCTTCCCCGAAGGCGCCGAGCATTTTTCGGAGGGCCAGGAGCCCTCCGAGAAGGTTCGCCGCCTGCTGAGAAGGCCTTCTCCTTCTCATGGCCCCCCCCTCGCCTGCCGCCGATCCCAGGCGCAGTGGGAGTGCGGCATCGCACAGCAGCACAGTGGAAGCAGTGTCGGGTCCTACATTTTGTTCAGCCTTCTTGCTCTCACCTCCTCTCCGCAGCTCGCTTCGATACAGCCCACAGACGCTACAGTGGCAGAAGGGCCTCGCAGATTGTACATCGTTGAACAGAGCGCACTGCGAAGAGAACGCAGTTGATATTAAGTGTATTGTGAAGGCCTTACAGCCGGTGCCGCCGACCCTGAAGACGACGACGAGGACGAGGAGGAGGAGGAGGGGGAGGAGGAGCAGGAGGACGAGGCGGAGGACGCGGTGGACCGGCAGGAGGGGGAGGAGGAGGCTGCGGAGGAGGATGAGGAGGGGGAGCAAGGGCAGGGGGAGGACCGGATGGGAAAGGAACAGTACGAGGACGAGGAAACCGCGGGTCCAGAAAGCCGCGGCCAGGCGCGCAAGCCCACACAGGGCCAGCCGCGAACGAAGTCGTCCCATTATACTCGTACGTTCCCATTATACTCTTCCCTTTATACTCTTTACACCTTCCCCTGATCACTGTTAAATTTTGAAATCTACTCTTTCTCCTCTCACCCGTGCTACGGTCTCACGACTTCGACATCCGCGCCGTAAGAGTACCACACGCAGGGCCATTTTGGCGAATGACCCCGTGTTCTCTCCAGGCGACTCTGCGTTGTCTAGAGCGGCGGCCCTGCGGCTGCGAGGATGTCCCGAGCGGCGGTGCCGCGGTTGTGAAGGTGTCCCGAGCGGCGGCGCCGCGGATGTGAGGATGTTTCGAGCGGCGGCGCCATCCCGCCCCCCCGCCCTGCCTCCTTTTGGGCGTGTGCTATCTGTCTGGTGCAGGGTCTGAGGGAGGCAGTGATGTGATTGAGTCCGGGTGAGTTGCGGCGGCGGCCCCGCGGTTGCGAAGATGCCTCGAGCGGCTCCGCGCCTGCGAGGATGTCCCGAGCGGCGGCGCCACGGTTGTGAGGGTGTCTCGAGCGGCCGTTCCGCGGATGTGAGGATGTCTCGAGCGGCGGCGCCGCGGTTGATGCCCCCGAGCGGCGGCTTCGCGGTTGCGAGGATGTCCCGAGCGGCAGCTCCCATCCCACCCCCCCGCCCTGCCTCCTCTTGGGCGTTATCTGTCTGGCGCAGGGTCTGAGGGAGGCAGTGATGTGATTGAGTCCGAGTGACTTGCGGCGGCGGCCCCGCGGTGGCGAGGGCGTCTCGGGCGGCGGTTCCGTAGCTATGAGGATGTCCCGGGCGGCGGTGCCGTGGTTGTAAAGGTATCTATAGCGGCGGCACCGAGGATGTGAGGATGTCTCGAGCGGCGGCGCCGCGGTTGCGAGGACGCCCCGAGCGGCGGCGCCGCGGTTGCGAGGATGTCCCGAGCGGCGGCTCCGCGGCTGCGATGGTGTTTCGAGCGGCGGCGCCATCTTGGGCGTGTGCTATCTGTCTGGCGCAGGGTCTGCAGGAGGCAGTGCTGTGATTTTTCCGAGTGAGTTGCGGCGGCGGCTCTGCGCTTGCGAGGATGTCCCGAGCGGCGGCGCCGCGGTTGTGAGGATGTCCCGAGCGGCGGTGCCGCGGTCGCGAGGGTGTCTCGAGCGGCGGCGCCGCGGATGTGAGGATGTCTCGAGCGGCGGCGCCGCGGTTGCGAGGATGCCCCGAGCGGCGGCTCCGGGGCTGCGATGATGTTTCGCGCGGCGGCGCCATCCCGCCCCCCCTGCCCTGCCTCCTTCGGGGTGTGTGCTATCTGAAGTTCCCCTTCCGTGTTGTCCGTATGGATTGTCCTCAGAGATGACGCGCGCGCTATCTGATATGTGCTGGTTCAGGGTCCGGGGGTCATGCAGTGCTCTCTATCGTGGATGGGCAAGTGTGCTATGTGATTATCTTCTGGTATTATCCAAGGGGCCTAAGAGGTTAGCAGGGTGCTTTTCGGAAACAGTGTTGGCCCCTCTTGGGGGCTGTTTTGTCGTCTCTTGGGGCCTTTTTTGGGCTTCTTGGGGAGCTGGGGCCTGTTGGGGGCCTCTGTGGGGGTCCTTGGTGCCTCTCGGGGGCCGTTTGGGGGCCCCCTTGGGCCATCTTGGGCGCCTCTTCGGCCGTTTTGGGGCCCTCTTGGGCCGTCGTGGGGGCCTCTTGAGTGCCTCTTGGGCTGTCTTGGGTCGACCTGGGGGGTGTCTTGGGCCGTCTTGGAGCGTCGGGAACGCGAGAAGTTGTTTATGTTGAAAATGCACGTTTTGCGAACGGAATTTGGCGATTTTGGCCTCTTGGGGCTCCCTTGGGAGGCCTCTTGGGGCGTCTTGGAGCGAAAGGGGGCCTCTGGGATTGTCTTGGGGCCATCGTGGGCGTCTTGTAGCCCTCTTGGCCCAGCTTGGGGCCGTCTGGAAGCCAGCAGGAGCCGTCTTAGGCCCTCCAGGCGCGCTCGCGACCCAGCGGCCCCCAGCGAGACCAAGGTGTGGCCGGATCAGTTGTCTATGTATATAGATACTCATTGTATTAATACATCTCTCTATTTAGATATACATACATACATACATATGTATATACACATACATATATAATGAATAGGAGGGGGGGACAAGACTAGGGGGAGAGAGTTTGAGCTGTGAGGAGGGGAAGCAGATTTGGCACAAGTCCAGTGTTGATTGGCACCGGCCCGTCGCGTCTCACAGTGTTGGGGAGATAATTGTTACTTTCCGCCTTCTCGTCTCCACCTTCCCCTCCACCCCCTTCTGCTGGTCTCCCCCCAATTGGCGTTGGGAAGACCGTCATTACCCTGATGGGTGTCATTGGCTTCGGGCTGAGCATCTGGTCCATCAACCGCCACCGAGTTCTGAAGGCTCTCTGCAGCAGTGATTTTTTTCTGTTGCACTTTCTCTGTGCCGCCGTCGTTCCTCCTCTTCCTACTCCTCCTCCTGCTCCTCCTCGTCCTCCTCCTCCTCCTCCCCTTCCTCCTCAAATATCATATCATCTGCAGTGCTCTCCCTCCTCTACATCCTCGTGCCCCCACAATCTCCTCGCCGCCTCGTCCGCGCTCCCGTGAATGCAGCCGTATTCGTCAAGCTTCCGTCTTCGCTATGCTGTCTAAGGTGAGGACTATTATAGATGCTTCGTTGTTGGCACTTGCTTCCATCACCTCGTCTCCTCCTCTACCTCCTCCCTGCCACCTCCTTCCTTCCACTCCTCCATCCTTGTACTCCTCATCTCTTCGACCTCCTGCAATCATTCCCTCCTCCTCTTCCTCCTCCCTCCCCCTCACGCTCCTTCTTCTCTTCTTCTTCTTCTTCTTTCACCTACTCTTCCTTCCAGCCAAGACACATCTGTTTGAAGTGTTTACTGAGAGGAGCTGATGACCTAGTTACATCAGTGAAACGGCTAAAGAAATCTGAATTTTCATCTTGGGAATATTCCGTGTGACCAAGAACGCCGCCAGAGCATCAAGGGCTAGAGGGAAAGGCGAGCCCGTAGCTAGACTCGCAGATGCCTCCGTCACCACCGAGGTGTGTTGCCCGACAGCCCAGCACATATGTACGTCGGAGCATCAGGCCCCAGCACCGAATCACAGGTTCGACGGAGTTAATTCCGCAGCAGGATCGATGACGGAGGTGGGATGTGTGTTGCTGTTGCTGTTGCTGTTGCTGTTGCTGTTGCTGTTGTTGTTGTTGTTGTTGTTGCTGTTGCTGTTGTTGTTGTTGAATATTATTACTTCTAAAGAATAATTATTGTTGGGCCCCCTGGTGCACGCCCCCCTCGCCGCGCCTAGGCCGCAGCCACGTTTTCATCATTTTCGTGAGGAAGCCTCAGGTAAAACGATGTGATCCAGATCCGGTTGTTTTGTTGTAATCCGTTTTCCCTTGCAAAAAACACTATAAAATGACATTTCTTGTTCTAATATAATCAAATTTCAAGAATCCCTTGCAAAAAATAAGGTAAAGTGGACATTCGCGCGCGCAAGACGAAATCCTTCCAAAAGCTTAGTGTTCGGAGCGATTTTAACATAAAAACATCAAAAAACCAATGGTTTTTCAACAAAAAAATGTCAAAATCTCATCCCGCGCGCTCTTGCGGATTCGTAGGAAACCCAACACTTTTTAAACATTTCTGTCAAACGGGCTTTTGCGAGCAACTTTTTCGAACTTCTGCAACAACGGTTGCGCACCTGCCAGGGCCATCATCCCTGTCAAATAATACCATGCGGGACACATTCGTTTTTTCTTCGCGCGCGCACGCCGTCGTCGTCGGCCGCGGGGCCCTGAATAGTAGCCACGGTCGTCCGCATGCCACGAAGTGAAGTGTCCGAACGTCATAGGGCGGGAAGCTGGGTGTGGGTGGTGGCGAAGAGTCGTTTGGAAATTTGGTAGAGCTTGAACCGGCCCCCCCACAAAGTGGGGGTATTGCCCGCCTCCTATGAAAACCCTGGCACTGGTGAGAACGGAGTGTCCCCACGTGCTAGTAATTGTTGTTGTTGTTGTTGTTGAACATTATTAATTCTAAAGAATAATTATTGTTGGGCCCCCTGGTGCACGCCCCCCCCCCCGCGCCTAGGCCGCAGCCACATTTTCATAATTTTCGTGAGGAAGTCTCAGGTAAAACGATGTCATCCAGATCCGGTTGTTTTGTTGACGCCCGCTTTCCCTGTCAAAAAACACTATAAAATGACATGTCTTGTTCTAACATAACCAAACTTCAAGAATCCTTTGCAAAAAATGACACGAAGTGCACACTCGCGCGCGCAAGATGAAATCCTTCCAAAACCTTAGTTTTCGTAGCGATTTTAACATAAAAACATGAAAAACCCAATGGTTTTTCAAAAAAAAAGTTTCAAAAATTCATCTTGCGCGCTCTTGCGGATTTCTGAGGAAACCCAATATTTTTTCAACATTTCTGTCAAACGGGCTCTTGCGAGCAACTTTTTCACGTGCTTCGAACTTCTGCAACAACGGTTGCGCGCATGCCAGGGCCATCATCCCTGTCAAATAATACCATATTGGACACATTCGTTTTTTCTTCGCGCGCGCACGCCGTCGTCGTCGGCCGCGGGGCCCTGAATAGTAGCCACGGTCGTCCGCATGCCACGAAGTGAAGTGTCCGAACGTCATAGGGCGGGAAGCTGGGTGTGGGTGGTGGCGAAGAGTCGTTTGGAAATTTGGTAGAGCTTGAACCGGCCCCCCCACAAAGTGGGGGTATTGCCCGCCTCCTATGAAAACCCTGGCACTGGTGAGAACGGAGTGTCCCCACGTGCTAGTAATTGTTGTTGTTGTTGTTGTTGTTGTTGAACATTATTAATTCTAAAGAATAATTATTGTTGGGCCCCCTGGTGCGCGCCCCCCCCTGCGCCGCCTAGGCCGCAGCTACATTTTCATCATTTTCGTGAGGAAGCCTCAGGTAAAACGATGTGATCAAGATCCGGTTGTTTTGTTGTAATCCGCTTTCCCTTGCAAAAAACACTATAAAATGACATTTCTTGTTCTAATATAATCAAATTTCAAGAATCCCTTGCAAAAAATAAGGTAAAGTGGACATTCGCGCGCGCAAGACGAAATCCTTCCAAAAGCTTAGTGTTCGGAGCGATTTTAACATAAAAACATCAAAAAACCAATGGTTTTTCAACAAAAAAATGTCAAAATCTCATCCCGCGCGCTCTTGCGGATTCGTAGGAAACCCAACACTTTTTAAACATTTCTGTCAAACGGGCTTTTGCGAGCAACTTTTTCGAACTTCTGCGACAACGGTTGCGCACCTGCCAGGGCCATCATCCCTGTCAAATAATACCATGCGGGACACATTCGTTTTTTCTTCGCGCGCGCACGCCGAAATCTCCAAAAACCATTGGGTTCTGTGGGTGTGTACCCCACGCCAGTGTAGTAGCCACGGTCGTCCGCACGCCACGAAGTGAAGTGTCCCAACGTCATAGGGCGGGAAGCTGGGTTTGGGTGGTCGCGAAGAGTCGTTTGGATATTTGGTAGAGCTTGTAATGCCCCCCCACGAAGTGGGGGTATTGCCTGGTGTCGTATGAAAACCCTGGCACTGGGGAGAACACCGCGCGTTCGGGTAAAATGATTGTTGTTGTTGTTGTTGTTGTTGTTGTTGTTGTTGTTGTTGTTTTTGTTGTTGTTGTTGTTGTTGTTGTCGTTGTTTTCGTTGTTGTTGTTGTGGTTGAAACTTAAAAGACCGATCTGCTTATGTCTTGGCAGCCTCTGGGCCCAGTGCTCTATCAGAGAGAGGGAGAGAGCGAGAGAGACAGAGAGAGAGAGAGAGAGAGAGACAGCGGCAGCTCCAAGAACCCTAGGCCATGCCAGATGTTTTCAGACTTGGGGTTTTCGATGCAATATCTGAAGCCGATTGGACGAGGACTGCACGTATGACCTCCTGCTGCGTTGTTGGTTTTACAGAGCGTTTACTCGACGCTTCCGCACTCGCAACTGCGATAGGATGTGCATCAAATTCGACAGGGGCCAGAAGTTGCGGCACAATGTGGCGTTGCGTGTCCTGTGTGTTAGGTTTATGTCCCTCCCAGATGGGTCTGGCACCCCTCTGAGAAAGTAATGAGATCTGTTGTTATATTTCTTGCCCTCCGCTCCCCTCCCCTGGACCTCCGATCTCCATGTTGGGTCAGCCGCGGCCGACGGCGGAAAGTTCGGATCGCGCGGCGCTCCGCACGAACATCGAAACTGAAGGGCGCGGGGACACGGACCGCGCGTGAGAGTTGCATTCCTTTCCCAGGGCAGTGTGGGTGCTGATTTTCACTTCTTTCCCAGCTCGGCTTGGGGTATTGGTTTCATGCCTCTTCTGGCCGCGCTCGCTGTTCGTGGCGATCTTGGACGAGCCCTGTTGTGCGTGCTCGACCTCATATCTTCCTCCTCCTCCTCCTCCTCCTCCTCTTCCTCCTCCTCCTCCTCCTCCTCCTCCTCCTCTTCCTCCTCCTCCTCCTCCTCCTCCTCCTCCTCCTCCTCGTCCTCCCATCCTTCTCCTCCTCCTCCTCCTCCTCCTCACTGGGCACTCGTAAACAACTGGGTGCGCTGACTCGCCCCCTCTCGGAGTCCCTCGATGCTCCAACAGAAAGTTAGGTCCTGTGCGCCAGTTCTCGTATGAGCGAGAGCTGGATGAGCGGTCGGTTTGGACCGTGTTCTGGTCATGGAGCGGCATACGGTCGCAGACAGGGCGAGCCAGGCGCCCATGTAGTTAGCGGTCACCGGGATTCGCCCAGGATTCACAGGATCCCCCGCTGGTGCTACCACCATTTCCTCGTTATAAACTGATGCGATGCCTTTGTTAACGAAAAACGAGGTGGTCGTCCACCACCACCTCCTCATTCTATAGAAACGCTTGGGATGTTTTTTCAAGTTGTCGTTCATTTTGGCGGGCGAAATGGCAGCAAATCGCCGCACATGCGTTGGCGCAGTAGAGGAACAGGCAACGCGCCAGGTCTGCAAGCCGCGCGCCGAAGCTCGCAGGGTTAGGGAATTCTGTAGTCAATTACACAGTGCTCGCGATCTTAGTGCCGTTCCGGGGCATGTGCGGGCGATTTTTGCTCGAGATGTGCGCTCGTTGTGCGGGTATGTGCGCGGTATGTGCCCCGCATGTGCGGATCTGTTTGATATTGGAGCGTTATGATCTAGTGGCGTGTGCACGTGTGCGGCCATGTGCGGGGGCATGTGATCTGAGTTTTTTCCATTCTTGTTCTGGTTCGGCCTTCACCGTTGAGCGTAGTTTGCGACAGTACGCGTATGTGCGTGGCGTGTGCGGGAACCCTTTTGTGCAGTATGTATGAGCAGCGTTACATACATCAAGGCGTCGCAGTAGGTGCTCACACGGCCGCTGCTTGCCCTGGCGCTGCCCGCGCATGCCCGCACGTGGCGCCGCTCCTGCCCGTGCATGGCACCGTCCGTGGCCGCGCGGCTACACAGGCCCGCGCGCGGCCGCACGTGTCCGCACCGCTCCGCACAACAGGCCGCGCGTGCCCCCCCTGCCCCCCCCCGCACCTCCGCACATGGCCGCACACCCCTCAGCGGACGACCGCACGTGCCGCATGCCTGCGCCTGGCGCCAGTCGTGGCCGCGAGGGGGTGCACGGCCACGTGCGGCCGCACATGCCTGCACAGCGCCGCAAGGGGGACAATGAGGAGGAGGAGGAGGAGGAGGAGGAGGAGGAGGAGGAGGGAGGAGGGAGGAGGAGGAGGAGGAGGAGAGGAGGAGGAGGACTGTTCTCCTTCTCCTCCTCTCCTCCTCCTCTCCTCCTCCTCCTCCTCTCTCCTCCTCCTCCTCCTCCTCCTCCTCCTCCACTCCCGAGAATGAACGACCGGGCGCCGCGAACTCTGCAAATGCTGTGCGACATGTGCCAGGCATGCGATTGGCGTGTGCGGAGCCTGGATTTTCGGGCGGGGGCGGTGCCCGCGGGCCCTCATCGTGCCCGCCATGGACTTGCTCTCTCTCGCGCGTGGTATCTATCCTGGAGGGGCTGTCCGGGCTGCCTGGGAGGGCGCTCCTGCAAGTTTTGTTCCTGCGGGAGCATGGCGTGTGCGGCCACGTGCGGGCATGGCGGGGCTTTCCCGACCGGCGACCTCGTTGGAATAGGGCATGGAGATGCATCGCACGTGCGGGGACGCGGCGGCTTCGACGCTTCCGTGCCTGCTCGCGGGGCCTGCTGAAATCTGCGTCCGTGTGCGCAGAGAGAGGGAGAGAGAGAGAGAGAAAGAGAGAGAGAACGGGAGAGAGAGAGAGAGAGAAAGACAAATAATGAGAGAGAGAGAGACACATATATATATATATATATATATAGAGACAGACAGCGAGCGCGGTATTCGCAGTGCCTTCGCTGGCCCGCGCGCTCCCCTGCAGGGCGGACGAGGAGGGGGGGCCGATCGGGAGAGGGGCGGCGAGCGCACTGGTGGAGGCGGTGGAGGAAGGAAGCGAAGGGAGGAACAATGTACTCCAGATTTCGTAATAAAGGGAGGGGGGTCTCATTTCGGGGGGGGTCTCTTCCAGGCTATCTTGGAGGGCCTGGGGGGTCTGGGGACGATGTTTTGGAGGGTTCTCCCACGGGGGAGGTCTGAAATGGCTTGTCTTGGAGGGTCCAGACCCCCTCCCTTTTATTACGAAATCTGGAGTAAGCACGCAGTACTTGTAGTGACGCGTGGGTTCTGCTCCCGCTTTCTCTTGTCAGCTCATTTCTCCTCGGTGTCCCCGTCGGCCTCCCCTTTCGCAGCCCTCCCGCCGCGTCTTTGAACGCGTGTGCGCGCTTCTGCCAACTATTGCGCACTTCTGCGTGCACTATTTCGCACGTGTGCGTGTTTTTTTTGCGCACGTTTGCCCAACTGTGCGTACAGTTCTGCGCAGGTCTGCGCACTCTTGCACACTTCTGCTTGCTCGAGTGGGCCCGCAGGCGCGCACTCCTGCGCACCTCTGCACGCTCCTGCGCAAAGTCGGTTCGGGGAAAGCCTCCCATGAGTTTCACTCTGTTCTTCGGGGTCTCGGGCGTACTGTCGGAACAAGGGGAGACGGCTCGGCCTCAGCACGTGGCCGCCCCCGCGGACCGCTGCCTCCTGTTGCTCTTCGGTCTCTCTGTGCGATGGTGGCCCTCCCCATTGGCAGCTGCGCTCCGCGGGATTTCGGGGGACTCAGATTTCCAACGTCATGTTCGTTTTGATAACGCGGACCCCCAATAGGTCTGGACCCTTTCTCGGGGTCAGTTTTTCATCGTGAGTCGTTTTTGAACGGTCCCGAAGCGTAGTAAGGGCCACCAGAAGTCAATAATGGAGAACAACTTTCCGTCGCGATTTTTCATGTCGCGACGGGGTCTCGGAATGGGCCGAGGAGTTTTTGCTCCACTCTGCCCCAGCAGGCCCGCGAGATCATGCTCCTGCAGGCGGAGGTCGCGGACCCGGACAACCAGCCCATGTACAAGAGTTCTGGCGCGTGGGGGGCGTCGTCGCCGTCGGCGTCGCCGTCGCCGTTGCAGTCGTTGTCGTCGTCGTCGTCGTCGTCGTCGTCGTCGTCTTCGTCGTCTTCGTCGTCGTCGTCGTCGTCGTCGTCGTCGTCTTCCCAGACATGCTCACGTCGCGAACAAAAACACGACGGAAGGTTCTTCGCCGTGTTCGGCTTCCAAGGTATTTCGCCACTCGGGATGAAAAAATCAAGACATCGCATGTCGGGGAGTTTCCCCTGCCTCCCCCATAGAGGGCAGGGGGGGGGAGAACGAAGAGGGGGAGGCAGGTGGATCAAGGAGGCAGGGGGGGGGGGATTGACGAGGAAGGGGGAAGCAGGGGGAAGGGGACGAGAGGAGGAGGGGGAGGACGAGGTGGAGGAGGGGGACCCGTGCAGACCCAAGACGCATCACCGATGTTGCAACAAACCCTCGAAGTTCCCTTTTCATAGGTTCCTACCAGACTTGATTTTGATTGCGGGAAGTGCCCGCTGGAAGACAACCGTGTGAGAGTCTTCAATCGTGCCACTACGGCATTCCTGGGATTTCAACGCGTCGAACCAACGTGGCTGTTGCGCCTTGAAAACTGCAAGCCACCGTTCCTGGGATTTCAACGCTGCGAATCAGCGTGACTGCTGCGTCTTGTCGATCCAAGAGCGCGTCTCCACGCAAATCCTGGAACCGCAGCCATGCATTTTTTTGCACTTGTTGGAAGCGCTCAGGATTAACGAGCCACATTTTGACAAATGGCCGCTCTCCATTTTTTTTTTTTGTTTTGGGGGGGGGTAGCCTTGTGGACCACGGTGCCCAGCGCCTGGGGCGAGAGCCACATTCTGAAAGAAGCCGCTTTCCATCCTGGAGGCCGTGGCAGGCTTTTGGCAATAGACGTGCGCGGGCGCCGAGGCGATGGCCACCTTCCGAGAGCGAGGCGCCCTCCGCCTTCGAACGTGCTGCAGCTTTGCCAGCCGTGCCGCGGTGCCGGCTCCTCCCTCGTGTGGCCGAGACGGCGCCCAGCGTTCTTCTCCCGCCGCCCTCCTCCCGCCGCCTCCCCCCTCCCATCCCCGCCTCTGCCCTCCGCGCTCCGCATGTCGTTACCGTCATCGTCATCATCGTCTTCATCACCATCATCATCATCACCACCAGCATCGCGGTCATCAGCACCTTGTCTCCTCCTCTCCTCCTCTCTTCCTCCTCCCACCTCCTCCTCCTCTTCCTCCTCCTTCTCCGTCATCATCATCAACATCATCATCACCATCATCATCATCACCATCATCATCATCGTCGTCATCATCATCAGCATCATCATAATAATACTATCAATAATAGTTATCATCTCCATCATCAGCATCAGCATCAGCATCAGCATCAGCATCAGCATCAATGTCAACAGCAGCATCAGCATCATCATCATTCCATCATGCCGTCATCTTTATGCATGTCTCCCCCCATCAATTTCGGCACACCCCTCACACGTTTCGTGGCCACATGGGGAGCTCCACTGGAAGGTCCCAGTGGCGGAGCTCGCATGCAGTTCCCTCACCCATTACAGCGTTTCGTGGCCTCATAGGGAGCTTTACCGAAGGTCCCAGTGGCGGAACTCGCATGCGGTTCCCTTGCGCAGTACAGCGTTTCGTGGCCCCATAGGGAGCTCCACCGAAAGTCCCAGTGGCGGAACTCGCACGGGGTTCCCCCACCCAGTGCAGCATTACGTGGCCCCATAAGGAGCTCCACCGAAGGTCCCAGTGGCAGAGCTTGCATGCGGTTCCCCAACCCAGTACAGCGTTTCGTGGCACCATAGGGGGCTCCACCAGAGGTCCCAGTGGCGGACCTCGCATGCGGTTCCCCCACCCAGTACAGCGCTTTGTGGCCCCATAGGGAGCCCCACAGAAGGCCCAAGTGGCTGCGCTCGCATGCGGTTCTCCCACACAGTACAGCGTTTCGTGGCCCCATAGGGAGCCCCACCGAAGGTCTTCGTGGTTCTATAGGGAGCTCCACCGAATGTCCCAGTGACGGAACTCGCATGCGGTTCCCCCACCCAGTACAGCGTTTCGTGGCCCCATAGGGAGCCCCACAGAAGGTCCCAGTGGCGGAACTCGCATGCTGTTCCCCCAGCAGCGTTTCGTGGCCCCATCGGGAGCTCCACCGAATGTCCCAATGGCGGAATTCGCATGCGGTCCCCCCCATAGGGAGCTCCACCGAAGGCCCCACTGGCGGACTTCGCATGCGGTTCCCCCGCCCAGTACAGCGTTTCGTGGCACCATAAGGAGCTCCACCGAATGCCCCAATGGCGGAACTCGCATGCGATTCCCCCACCCAGTGCAGCGTTTCGTGCCCCCATAAGGAGCTCCACCGAAGGTCCCACTGGCGGACCATGCGGTTCCACCACACAGTACAGCGTTTCGTGGCCCCATACGGAGTTCCAAGGAAGGCCACAATGGTGGATTTTGCACGCGGTTCCCTTACCCAGTACAGCGTTTCGTGGCTCCATAGGGAGCTCCACCGAAAATCCCATGGCGGACTTCGCATGCGGTTCCCTTGCCCAGTACAGCGTTATGTTGCCCATAAGGAGCTCCACCGAAGGTCCCAGTGGCGGAACTCGCATGCGTCTCCCCCACCCAGTACAGCGTTGCGTGGCCCCATAGCGAGCTCCACAGAAGGTCCCAGTAGAGGAAATCGCATGCGTCTCCCCCGCCCAGTACAGCGTTTCGTGGTCCCATGACTGCACTCGAATGCGAATCCCCCGCCCAGCACAGCGTTTCGTGGTCCCATAGGGGCCCCCACCGAATGTTCCAATGGCTGGGCTCGCATGCGGTACCCCCGCCCAGAGCAGCGCTTCGTGGCCCCATAGGGAGCTCCACGGAATGTTCCAATGGCTGGGCTCGCATGCGGTTCCCCCGGCCCAGCACAACGTACCATTGTCACACAGGGGGCCCCACCGAAGGTCCCACTGGCGGAACTCGCATGCGCCTCCCTCGCCCAGTACAGCGTTTCGTGGCCTCATAGGAAGCTTCACCGAAGGCCCCAGAGGCTGCGCTCGCATGTGTCTCCCCCGCCTAATACTGCGTAGGGAGCTCCACCAAAGGCCCCGGTGGCTGCACTCGCATGCGTTTCCCCCGCCCATTTCAGCGTTACTTGGCCGCCCTCCATGGGGAGCTCTGCCGAAGGCCACAGTGGCAAAGTTCGCATGCGTCTCCCCCCGCCCAGTACAGCGTTTCGTTGCCCCAGAGGGAGCTCCACCAAAGTTCGCATGCGCCCCCCACCCAGTACAGCGTTTCGTGTCCCATAGGGAGCGCCACTGAAGGCGATGTTCACAACTGCGGTACTCACAACTGCATATGATTGGTCTCCCCTCCATGCTAATTTAAGACGACTGTGCGCAGCGCTAAGGCGAGGGCCACATTTTGGAAATGACCCGCCATCCATCCTTGAAGCTACTGCGAATTTTAAAAGCGAATTTGTGTGGCGCTGAGGTGAGACACACATTTCGAAAACGTTCCGCCATCCATCCGTTAAACGGTTGCAGATTTCGAGCTTCAGGGCTCTAAGTGGTAAGGGAGCCTCAGGCGAAACTCGCGGCCCGCCGTACGGACACGTCTCGGGGCGCGACAGGGAGGAGTTACTTCTAGGGAAAAGGGATGGGGGAGGACGAAAAGGATGAGGAGGATCAGGAGGAGGAGGAGGAGAAGGAGGAGGAGGAGGAGGAGGAGGAAGAGGAGGAGGAGAAGGAGGGGAGAATGAGGAGGGGAGGAGGAGGAGGAGGAGGAGGAAAAGGAGGAGGAGGAGGAGATGGAGGAGGAGGATCAGGAGGAGGAGGGGAGGAGGACCAGTGTAAACCCAAGAAGCAATAACGATGTTGCAATATACCCTCACGCCAAGTTTTCACATATTCTTACAAGATCTTGCCTCCATTGTTGGAAATGTCCCATTGAACATCGCTCGTCTGAAAATCGTCCATTGTGCCAAGACGCCAGCCCTGGGACTTCAACGCCGCGAAACAACCTGACTCTTACGCCCTGATAACCTCACATCGACCCTGAGCGCCGTTCCTGTGATCCTACGCCGCAAATCAAGGTAACTCTCGCGCCCGCATTCTTTTTAAACGTGCCAGAAGGACATTCGTTTGAATTCAACTATGCGAATCTTTGAACATGTTGCGAACGCTTGAGGCGACAGTGCGCGGCCCGAAGACGAGACCCACATTTCGAAGAAGAGCTGCCCCCTATGTTTGAAAGTGTTGCACACTTTGAGACGAATGTGCGCGGCGCTAAGGCGAGGACCACATTTTGAAAACGAGCCGCCCTCCATCGTTGACGCAGTTGCAGATTTTTTACACGAATGTGCGCGGCGCTAAGGCGAGCGAGAGTCAAATTTTGAAAGCGAACCGCCCTCCATTTTTGAAAGTGCTCCGAAGTTGCAGCTACAAGCTTCAGGATCATAAATGGTGAGGAGGTTTAGGCGAAACGCCGGGCCCGGCCTACCCAACACGTCCGGGGGTGCGACAGGAAGGGGTTCATAATAGAGAGAAGGGATGGAGGAGGAGGATCAGGAGGAGGAGCAGGAGGAGGTGGAGGAGGAGGAGGAGGAGGAGGAGGAGGAGGAGGAGGATCAGGAGGGGGAGGAGGAGGAGGATCAGGAGGGGGAGGAGGAGGAGGAGGATCAGGAGGAGGAGGAGGAGGAGGAGGAGGAGGAGGAGGAGGAGGAGGAGGAGGAGGAGGAGGAGGAGGAGGAGGAGGAGGAGGAGGAGGAGAGGGGTCACTTTGGCCCTCTGCGTGCTGGTGCGCAGGGCTGCCCCCCCCACCCTGGGGCCGCAGGGCCGGCACCGGTCCGCGGCCGCCATCGGCGACGGGTGGCCCGCTCAAGCTCACGATCCAGGTGACCTTCACTGAGATACGGTAGAGGGAAACAATTACTGAACACTCCCCCTCCCCCCCAAACTCAATGTTGGCACGCGCGGGGGGCACTGCGGTCGAAGCGCATCTCGTCAGACCCACCGCCAGCTTTGAACACTGGGGGGAGGGGGAGGCGTTGACGGGTGAATGTGGCATGAGTGTTCGCTGGTTTGTTCCGAGGCCTGTATGCTTGGTTCCGCTGCGAGAAATACATCTCGACCCACGTGGAATACATCACGATGTTAGCCAGCGTGGGCCCCTATGCAGTGTGTGTTCTGGCAGTCGATGCGGTGTGATTTGTGTGGTGCAGCACGTGTTGTGCAATCTATGTGGTGCAGTCTATGTTGTGCAAGCAGTGTGGAGGAGTCTATGTTGTGCACTCTGATGTGGTGCATTCTATGTTGCACAATCCGTTTGGTGCAATCTGCGCGGTGCAATCTATGTTGTGCAAGCTATGTGGTGCAATCTACGTTGTGCACTCCCATGTTGTGCAGTCAATGTTGCGCAACACATGTGGTGCAATATGCCCATACGACCGCCCTGCGGGCGATAAGGAGGTTGGGGGGGGGTGAGATCAAATGCCCAGCCTGACTGACTTCCAGCCTGTCACCTTGATCTCATCCTCTCCTTCTCTCTGTCTCTCTCTCTCTCTGTCTCTCTCTCTCTCGCCCTCTCTCTCTCTCTCCCTCTTTATCAGAGTCTCCTTCCACCACAATGGTGATCGCGATGACGATGATATCCCACTGTCTATCTATCCGTCGACCGACCTATCGGTGAATCTCACTGCCGATCTCACTATCGACCTCGAAAGCAAAATGAGAAAGCCCGCCGCAGGCTCCGAAAAACCATTTGTTGTCGGACAACCACAGGACAACCACATAAACAAATAAATTGATGGATTGGGTTGGATGGATTGGACTGGGTGGGATAAGATAAGATGGGACAATATGGATTGGATAAGAAATGATGGATTGGAATGGACAAGATTGATTGGATAAGATAAGCTGGATTGGATAAGAAAGCCCGCCGCAGGCACCGACACACATGAATTGATGGATTGGGTTGGGTGGGTCGGATTGGATGGGATGAGATGGATTGGATAAGATCAGATGGGCTGGATTGGACGAAATGGATTGGATCATGTAATATGGATTGGATTGGCCCGCCGCAGGCGCAGAAACAAACGAATTGATGGATCGGGTCGGGTGGATTGGATTGGGTGGGAAAAGATAAGATGGGACAAGATGGGTTGGATAAGTTAAGATGGATTGGATTGGACAACATGGATTGGATAAGATCAGCTGGATTGGATAAGAAAGCCCGCCGCAGGCGCCGAAAAACATGGATTTTTTGAAATTAGCGACATGCGCTGGCGCCGGGACGCCCGGGACACCCAGGACACCACGGGACACCGCCTGGCCCAGCTGGGACACCTCCCGGCCACCGGCGGACGGGAAACGGACTTTCGCTCCCACTGACACCCGGGACACACGGGACACCGCCCGGCCCAGCTGGGACACCTCCCAGCCACCGGCGGACGGAAACGGACTTTCGCTCCCACTTCGGCCTAGCTGCAGGAGGATCACTCGCAGCTTCGCCTCGCCCGCACGCACGACACGAACACGAAACCGAAACCGATTTCCCAGTGGGGGGGTCTCCGTTTCATTGCAATCTCACCCCCCAACCTTCGATATTGTTCAATCTATTTTGTGTAAGCTATGTAAGTGCAGTGTTGGAAAAATGCTAGAATAAATGTTTGCGCTCTATGTCGTGCAATGTGTGTTGTGCAGCGAATGTTGTGCAGTGCGTCGGCGGCGAGTGACTGGGGAAGTGAGAAGGAGAAGGCCTTCTCAGAAGGCGGGGGGACTTCTCACAAGCCGTATTGCTTTCTGAGAGATGTTATGCGTTTCTGGGGGAAACTTACACAACTTTTCAGATGGTTGGGGGACGTCCGAGCCTTCTGAGAAGGCGTTCTCATTCTCGCTTCCTCCCACGCTCGCCGCCGAGTATATGTTGTGCAATGTCTGTGTTGCAAAAGACGTGGTACAAAACGTGTGGTGCAAACAATGTTGTGCAAGCTATGTGGTGCAAATTATGTTGTTCACTCACTATAGGTGGTGCAATTTTGGTTGTGCAATCCATGTTGTTCGATTTTTGAATATATGTTGTGCAAGCTATGTGGTGCACGCTGAGTTGTGCAATCTATGGGGTGCAATCAACGTTGTTCACTTTTTGTTCGTTCGTGAGCGGCGATCTATGTGGTGCAATCCACTTTGCTGAACTTGAAGTCGTCATCTCCACTGCTTGCGCAAACATCCCACCCACTCACCCGCAACTTGGCTTGCAAAACCTGTTAAGACCGACTACGACGACACCGACGACAACGACTAGGACGACACCGACGACGTCTCCGACGACTTCGACGACGACAACGACGCCGACGCCGACGACGACGACGACGCCAACAAAGGCGACGACGAGAGAGGAAGAAGGACGACGACGGCGACAACGACGACAACGACGACAACGACGAGGGAGGAGGGAGGACGGCGACGACGCGAACGACGACGAAGGAGGAAGGACGGCGACGCCGACGACGACAACGACGAGGGAGGAGGGAAGACGACGACGACAACGACGACGACGACGGCGACGAAATAGGAGGGACGACGACGAGACGCCGACGACGGACGACGACGACGACGACGACGGGACGGACGGAGACGACGACGACGAACACGACGACGTAGGCGACGACGACGACGACGACGCGGGAGGAGGGAGGACGGCGACGACGACGACGACGACGACGCAAGAGCGTGCGCGCGCACGCTTTTGTTGAAAATCCGTGTTGCGAAACCTTGGGTTTTTGTGGGTTTTTTGGACGCGCGATTTTGAAATTCGGCATACGCCCGCGACGACGCGCGCGTCTGCACTTCGTCCCACTTTTTGCA